CTACATACAGTGGTGTGAAAAAGTGTTGGCCCCCTTCCTGATTTCTTATTTTTTTGCATGTTTGTCACACTTTAATGTTTCAGATCATCAAACTAATTTAAATATTAGTAAAAGATAACACAAGTGAACACAACATGCAATTTTTAAATGAAGGTTTTTATTATTAAGGGAAAACAAAATCCAAAACTGCATGGCCCTGTGTGAAAAAGTGTTTGCCCCCTAAACCTAATAACTGGTTGGGCCACCCTTAGCAGCAACAACTGCAATCAAGCGTTTGCGATAACTTGCAATGAGTCTGTTACAGCGCTGTGGAGGAATTTTGGTCCACTCATCTATGCAGAATTGTTGTAATTCAGCCACATTTGAGGGTTTTCGAGCATGAACCGCCTTTTGAGATGCCAGCATCTCAATAGGATTCAGGTCAGGACTTTGACTAGGCCACTCCAAAGTCTTCACTTTGTTTTTCTTCAGCCATTCAGAGGTGGACTTGCTGGTGTGTTTTGGATCATTGTCCTGCTGCAGAACCCAAGTTCACTTCAGCTTGAGGTCATGAACATTCTCCTTCAGGATTTTTTGGTAGACGTAATGGGACACACACCTTCCAAAAAGTTCAACTTTTGTCTCGTCAGTCCACAGAGTATTTTCCCAAAAGTCTTGGGGATCATCAAGATGTTTTCTGGCAAAACTGAGACAAGCCTTTATGTTCTTTTTGCTCAGCAGCGGTTTTCGTCTTGGAACTCTGCCATGCAGACCATTTTTGCCCAGTCTCTTTCTTATGGAGGAGTCATGAACACTGACCTTAACTGAGGCAAGTGAGGCCTACAGTTCTTTGGATGTTGTTGTGGGGTCTTTTGTGACCTCTTGGATGAGTCGTCGCTGTGCTCTTGGGGTAATTTTGGTCGGCCGGCCACTCCTGGGAAGGTTCTCCACTGTTCCATGTTTTTGCCATTTGTGAATAATGGCTCTCACTGTGATTCGCTGGAGTCCCAAAGCTTTAGAAATGGCTTTATAACATTTTCCAGACTGATAGATCTCAATTACTTTCTTTCTAATTTCTTTCTGAATTTCTTTGGATCTCGGCATGATGTCTAGCTTTTGAGGATATTTTGGTCTACTTCACTTTGTCAGGCAGGTCCTATTTAAGAGACTTCTTGATTGCGAACAGGTGTGGCAGTAATCAGGCCCGGGTGTGGCTAGAGAAATTGAACTCAGGTGTGATAAACCACAGTTGTAACAGGGGGGCAAGCACTTCTTCACACAGGGCCATGTAGTTTGGATTTTGTTTTCCCTTAATAATAAAAACCTTCATTTAAAAACTGCATGTTGTGTTTACTTGTGTTATCGTTGACTAATATTTAAATTTGTTTGATGATCTGAAACATTAAAGTGTGACAAACATGCAAAAAAAACAAGAAATCAGGAAGGGGGCCAACACTTTTTCACACCACTGTACAATGTTTTGTCCAAAGCGACAATGAACACCACTGGCATTCATTGTAGGTTCAAAAATGCTTCAAATGAGACATTCTTCAACATATCTTCTTTTGTGTTCCACAGAAGATTCAGTTGTACAGGTTTGGACTGGCATGAAAGTGAGTAAATGGTGCCACAACTTTTGGGTAAACTCTTCCTTTAAAGATGGCTGACCAGTCCTGCTCCTAGAAGGCCACTGCCCTGCAGTGTTTGGCTCCAACCTCAAATAAAAACACCTAAAGTAATCAAGGTCTCAAGGATAGAAACTTCCAGACAGGCATGTTGGGACAAGATGGAGCTAAACACTGCAGGACGTTGGCCTTCCAGGACCAGGATTTTGAATGGCGGTGAATAAAGCCCTCCTGTATTTAAAACTTAATAAACCGTAATCTCTTGCTTCCGCTAACTGTCGTACATGTGTTCACAATAACACCGTTCCAGCGGATGACGAAGGACGTGTAGTGTATGGTCTGGTGTGAAGTGACGAATGCGCAAGCGCAGCGGAGAGAGCAAAACAAAACCCCGGTCACGAATTAGAAGTACAAAACGAAGGTTTGTAAAGAAAAATGTTGATGGATTTCGATATAAGCCAAGAGGAGACTGGTTTTCCTTTGCTAAAGTGAGGAAACTGCTTTCTTTGCTCCTCTAAACAAATGATGGTTCTCACGAGACTATATTATCACCGGACCTTACACTACGCCTACATTCTACATCATCTGCCGGAACAGCGTTCCATTGTGAACATGTGTACAGCAGTTAATGGAAGCAAGAGATTACGGTTTATAAAATTTTAAATATGGATTTTTTTTCTTTCAAAAACACATCGATTTGCTACAGGAGGCCTTTATTAACCCCCTGGAGCTGCGTGGAGCACTTTTTATGATGGATGGATGCGCTTTATTGCACTTCTTTTGGACTATTGAAAAATAACACCCACTCACTGCCATTATAAAGCGTAGAAGAGCAAGGACATTTTTAAATATAATTCCGACTGGATTCGTCTGAAAGAAGAAAGTCATATACACCTAGGATGGCTTGAGGGTGAGTAAATCATGGGGTAATTTTCATTTTTGGTGAACTATCCCTTTAACGATCTCAATTACTTTCTTTTTCATTTGTTTCTGAATTTCTTTGGATCTCGGCATGATGTCTAGCTTTTGAGGATCTTTTGGTCTACTTCACTTTGTCAGGCAGGTCCTATTTAAGAGATTTCTTGATTGCGAACAGGTGTGGCAGTAATCAGGCCTGGGTGTGGCTAGAGAAATTAAACTCAGGTGTGATAAACCACAGTTTTAACAGGGGGGCAAACACTTCTTCACACAGGGCCATGTAGTTTTGGAATTTGTTTTCCCTTAATAATAAAAACCTTCATTTAAAAACTGCATGTTGTGTTTACTTGTGTTATCTTTGACTAATATTTAAATTAGTTTGATGATCTGAAACATTAAAGTGTGACAAACATGCAAAAAAATAAGAAATCAGGAAGGGGGCCAACACTTTTTCACACCACTGTATATATTAGGAAACGCATAATAGAGATATACACATACGCAACACAATTGTTACACAAACACTTCACATAACTACATGTACTTCCTACTTTATGTTTACGTGTTTTGTATTGATAGTATAGTCTAAGTATATTTTGGCTCATGTACTGCTTTAAAATCCTTAAAAAAAAAAAAAAGACTGTAACTTCTTGTAACTCACAGCTGGTGCAATGGCCCCTGAACCCCCTGTACTCAGTGTGCCTTTCCCCCCTACTAGCCACACTCTGCTCTATCCAAGGAATACTTAACTATGGAGCTCATCTGTCTATACAAGGGGTGCCCAAACTCGGTCCTGGGGGGGCGGTGTCCTGCAGAGTTTAGCTCCAACTTGCCTCAACACACTTGCCTTCAAGTTTCTAGCATGCCTAGTAAGAGCTTGATTAGCTGGTTCAGGTGTGTTTAATTGGGGTTGGAGCTAAACTCTTCAGGACACCGGCCCTCCAGGACCGAGTTTGGGCACCCCTGGTCTATACCTATCCCATCTACAAACTGCCACTTTAGAAAACCTTCCTAGTAAACAAAGCTTTCAACATTAAAAAAGGCCTAAGTATAGTTTAGATTTTAAATTTTTGTGTGTATGTGTGTAGAATGTGTCTGTTGGGCCAGAAAAGTCTTGCAAGCAAAGTGCAAGCAAGACGCAGCGTTGTAAAACCAAAATCATAGATTTAACAATGCAGTCATTCTTGAGACGTGGGAAAAAACAGGTCCAGCAAGGGTAACTGCTATTAGCTTTAAAGAATAAAAATATTTAAAATTGTAAATGTCATGAGGGATTAATAATAGAATGTATTTAACACAATTATCACCTTCAATTTAATTTTCTCATTATTATACCAAATCTGTGTTTCTTAATGTCCTCTCACTACGTCTAAAACAGTGTGTCCACAGAGAAGTGTTCAATCATTCATATGCAATAAAATGGATAAAAAAATAATTTTTAATGATGAAAAAGAGCTTGTTTTATCAAAAGCAACACTTAATAATATCTCATATTAAAGCAAGGTTGTTTTTTAATGACACATGCATGTTTCATAAGATTTTAAAGTTGCGTCCCCACTTTTTGTCAACACCGTCAGACATTCAATAAAATGTAATAAAATCAGGGAATATCAGG